CAAGGGAGAGTCTTCCTTTCTCCAGCCTTCCTCTCTTGTCTCCAAGGTCTGAAATTCCTCAGGACTGGCCTTAGCAGTGAAGACGGAAGCAAAGGCAGCATTCAATAACTCTGCCTTCTCTGTATCCTTTGTCACCAGGGCACCCGCCCCATTCAGCAGCGGGCCCACGTTTTCCCTAGTCTTCCTTTTGCTATTGATGTATTTGAAGAAGGCCTTCTTGTGGTCCTTGACATCCCTTGCCAGATTTAATTCCAGCTGGGCCTTAGCCTTCCTTGTCGCATCCCTGCACGCTCTGACAACGTCCCTGTATTCCTCCCAAGTGGTCTTTCTCTACTTGTGATATTGCTAAGCGCGCCTGATTGCTTCTGCTGAGACCCAGGGGATGGCTTAGACAACATGAGATCTCAGAGTGAGTCAGTGACAATTATACACCATTTCTTCTAGCACAGCCCTACCTGGAAGCCAATGAAGTACTTGGGCACCGGGGACCAGAGAACAGGAAATACACAGCCTTGCCGAAAGTCCTTTAAGGACTCATTGCCCACAGGATGCTCTAGACATCATCTACAGATTCAAAGAGGGGCCATACAACTCACAACAGATCATGCCACCAGCAGCTATTAGACACAAAGTCGGGGTAAGATTTCTATGATAAGGAAGACCCTGAACTGCTGATTAGCAGAGACAGGGTCCATCTCACCATGGAAAGAAATCCAATTTCTTACACCCTTTTCCTAAATGTCTGCTGCTGGAGACAAGCTATAGGGCATGCTGGTCCTATGTTCTGTCCCATTTTAAGCTTGATCATGGGCTTCTGCATCGATGAACAGTCTTTGTACAAAGCCCCATACAAAATCAACGTACAGCAAAAATCAGAAGCAGCCTACCTGTTTCCAAAGTGCTGGGGGATGCACAGCTAATGTTTATCAACTTAGATTACACTACTGCTGGAAAGCCCTACAACACTAACAGGTGAATTTTTAAAGAATTATTGCACATTTTAAGGCAGTGTTTTACTTCCAAGTTTGCTTCCAATTTCTGAGTAGCAAATAAGTTCCTCTTCTCCAAGTTTCCAGAGAACTGCTCATTCACTGTCCTAATAAAACGATGTATCTCTTTGTAACACATTTTAATTACATTTTTTCTGACAAGCTCTTTTAGCTCAGACCCACTGAAAGGCTTCTTAATATAGTTCTGATGTAAGCGTTGGAAAAAACCCAGCGCTTTATTTAACTGGACATCCTGTTGCTCTATTTCACTTAACTGGAAATGATAATGACATGATGCTGTGCTGGTCCAGGTTAGAGCAGGAATTCTTGCCATGAGAAAATCATTGGAAATTCCAGACAAGTCTGCCGGCTGATAAGAGCAGCTGTGTGGTTTCCCTGGTTCAGGCCTGGGTTTGGTGCCAGAACAGCTGGCTCCTCTTTTCCGCCCTATTTGCATGTCTTGCTGCATGACACTCAGATATCCTTCAGGTTACACACTTTGAAAGCATCACGTATTTCATCTCCCTTGGCACCTGTGGCTGAGTTACCCGGACTGCAGATGCCATTCCAGATTGCAGACGGAGCGTGCCCCAAGGGAAGAGGCAATCTAGTTGGCTCCACACAGAGCCAGCTGGAAGCCTCCAGGGCTCTTGTTTCCATGGACAATGCAAGTCTGGAAGGAAATGAACTTCTTCTGTATGGGAA